AAAAAAAAAAGAAAGAAAGAAAAGAGGTTTAATTTACTCACAGTTCTTCAGGCTGTACAGGAAGCATGATCCTGGCATCTGCTCAGCTTCTGGGGAGGCCTCAGGAAACTTACAATTAAGGTAGGGGGTAAGGCATCTCACATGATGGGAGCAGGAGCAAGAGAGAACAAGGGGGGGTAGGCTGTACACTTTTAGACAGCCAGAGAACTCACTATCACAAGAAAAGCGCCTAGGGATGGTGCAAACCATTCATGAGAAATCCACCCCAGGATCCAACCACCTCCCACCAGGCCCTACCTCTAATACTGGGGACTACAATTCAACGTGAGATTCGGTGGGACGCAGATGCAAACCATGTGATTCAGACACTAGTGTCTCTTCTTGCATTATTTCTTGAATTTCTACTCTGAAACTGCTCTGAACAGGGTGCCGGTGACCTCCATATTGCTAAATCCTGTTATTTTTTCCCCAATCCTCATCTGAGTTCACCTGTTGCAGCATTTTACGCAATTGCTTGATCATGCTGTCCTCCTTAAAACGCGTTTTTCACTTGATGTCCAGAATACCACACTTGCCTAGTTTTCCTCCAACTTTTCTGGATGGCTTCATTTTCTCTCTCTTTTTTTTGTTTGTTTGTTTGTTTTGTTTTGAGACAGGGTCTTGCTCTGTCATCCAGGCTATAGTGCAATGATGCAATCTCAGCTCACTGCAGCCCCCATCTCCCAGGTTCAATCAATCCTCACATCTGCCTCCCAAGTAGCTGGGATAGACATGTACCACCAAACCTGGCTAAACTTTTTTGGTATTTTTTGTAGTGACAGGGTTTTGCCCTGTTGCCTAGGCTTGTCTCAAACTCCTAGACTCAAGCAATCTACTCACCTCAGCCTCTCAAAGTGCTGGGATTACAGGTATGAGCCACCGTGCCCAGCCCACTTTCATCTCCTATAATAGTTTCTTCTTCCTCAACTCCTTAACTTCCGAACATTGGAATGTCCAGGGACCTAGTCCTCAGATTTCTTCTTTTCTTCTATTTGCTCACTCCCTATTTGATATCATCTATCTTATAACTGTAAACATCACCTATAAGAGGATCATTCTTACATTATCTCTAACACAGACCACTCCCGTGAAGGCCAGGCCAATGTATCCAACTGGCATCTGGACATCTAAAATCTGACAAGTCCTAAACTGAACTCCTGACATCTCCCTCCCCACACATCACTTGCCCTTTCCAAAGTCTTCCCCACCTCAGTTAAAGGCAACTCCATTTTTCCAGCAGCTCAGTCTAAACCCTTAGACTTATCTCTGTTTCCTCTCTCTCTTGGATCCATCAGAGATCCCTCAAGTTTTATTGACTATATATTCAAGTTATAATCAGAAACTAATTGTCTGTCTATTTGTCACCTGCTCCATTGTGATCATCTTGTTCTAAGCTACCATTATTTTTCTCCAGGAATATAGCACTACTGGCTTCTCCGATTCTGCCCTTGTCCCTTGCAATCTATTCTCAAAAATCTGCCAGATGATCTTGTAAACAAGTAAGTTCTGTCATGTTGCTCTTCTGCTCAGTATGCTCCAGCGGCTCCCGGCTCACTTGGAGTAAAAGCCAAAGCCTCAGTAGTGTAATATTGGGGTTCAGGGGTTCAGGGTGCCCTCAGCTCCCCTGAGAGTATGTTTCTCCAGGTTCTTGGTCTCCTGCCCTCTCAAGAATGAGAGAGGGGACCATGGCGCCGTGCTCAGTAAATGCCAGAATCAAAAATGTTTGTACAAAGTGATTTATTTAAAAAGAGAGAGAAACAGAAGGAGAGAGAAAGAAACAGCTAACTCTCACACTGAGAGAATCCAGACAGATAGAATCCAGGAGAGGAACGCAGCTTCCACACTGAGTGGAAGGGAATAGAGAGAGATGGAGTTTAGGAGGGGAAGACGGACTTCCACGAGAGAGTGTGGAAGGGGACTCCAAAGGGGAAATCCAGGAGAGAGAAAGACGGCTTCCATGAAGGGAGTGTTCATGGAAGGGGATCCAAACATGGAGTCCAAAGGGGTGTGGAAGAAGGGGACTTTTAACCTGGGAGGAACCCCACCTTCTCTAAGACCCTGGTCAATGAAAGGAGTTCCTTAGAACTTGCACTGGAGTGATTGACTCTTAGTTTCTTCCCAAGCCTGCGAAATTCAAACATAAACCGTTAAATCTCCTGGATGGAGAGAGATGGGAGTGGGGCATGGCACTAGGAAGTTCTTGCCCTTAAAACTATGCCCCCTTGTGGACCCGGAAACAGAACACATTCCCTCATTAGAGCCTCCAAGGTCCAACAAGATTGGGACTCCACTAGGTCTTTACCTAAACTCCAACTTCTCCTTGCCTCATTCACTGAAGTCTAGCCAGACTGGCCTTCCTGCTGTTACTGGAACTTAGCAGGTGTGTCCATGCCTCTGGGCCTTTCCACATGCTGTTCCCTCTGCATGGACTGCTCTTTGCCCAGATATTTTTGTGGCTAGTTTCCTCATTTTTTTCAGGTCTATTCAACTGTCGCTTTTTATTGAGGTCTTGTCTGGCTCTGCTATCTAAAAATTTTACACTTCTCCCCAACACTTTATTTCCCCTTTCCCATGTTTTTTTTTTTTTCTTCCTTAGCATTCGGCATTATCTAACATGCTGCTAAATATTATTTATTTGTTTATTGTCTGTTTTCCTCAGTAGAATGTAAGCTCCATCATAGTAAGGATTTTTGTTAGTTTTATTTACTGCTGTATCCCATTGCCTGCATCAGTGTTTGATTTATTCACCTATTTGTTTTTGTTTGTTTTGTCTTTTTGAGACAAATTCGGGTCTGTCGCCCAGGCTGGAGTTCAGTGGCGCAATCTCGGCCCACTGCAGCCTCAACCTCCCGAGCTCAAGTGATCCTCCCATCTCACTCAGTCTTCTGAGTAGCTGGGACCACAGGCGCATGCCACCACATCCAGCTAATTTTTTTATTTTGTGTAGAGATGGGGTTTCACCATGGTGCCCAGGCTGATCTCAAACTCCTGGGCTCAAGTGATCCTCCCACCTAGGCCTCCCAAAGTGCTGGGATTACAGGCATGAGCCACCATACCTGACCCACATATTGGTTGAATGAATTAATAAGGGAAAATAGTTCATTTAATGTCCTTAGAATGGTGTCTAGCAAGAATAGCAATGGTTTTATTAGTCTTACCTGATTTTTAAAAATTGTTGTAATTATCCTCACCTTCCTCATTGCTACTGGGTTCTCCCCTCTTCCTGTCTCTGCAGTAGTTTCCACACTTCAGGCTCTCCTTATCTCTTGTGAGACTGTCTCAGTAGTCTCAGAAGTTGTCTTCCCGCCGCCAATGTTGCCTCTTTTAGACACACCCACTGCTCCTGACTTACACTTCTTGAAAACAAATTTGATCCTTTGACACCCCTGTCAAAAAACCTTTCAGTGACGCCCCACTGCTTTTAGGTGCAAGTTCCAGCACTCACATGGCACGCAGACAAAGCCTTCCTCAGCCGGGCTCCTGCTCCTCACTCCAGTCTTCTCTTCTTGCCTTTCTTACCCTGAAGACACCCGACCCGCCATGCCCTTTCACAACACTGTGTCTGTCTCTGCCAAGAATGCCTTGCCCTCCTTGTCTGCCTCATCAGCTCCTAGTCATCTCTTAAAACCCTCTTTCAGCAAGCATGTCCTCCCCTGTAGAACTCATTCCTGCCTCCTTTGTGCTGCCCCTTATGCCTGTGGCTGTGAGTTGCCACATCACACATATTGTATGTGTTGTATATTTCTGTCCACTTCCCAAGTCTGATGTTTTCCCTTTTCCTGTCTGCCTATCATACTTGGTGTGAAGTCTTTTTTCTTTTTTGAGACAAGTCTCACTCTTCTCGCCCAGGCTGGAGTGCAATGGCGCGGTTTTGGCTCATTGCAACCTCCGCCTCCCGGGTTCAAGCGAATCTCCTGCCTCAGCCTCCTGAGTAGCTGGGATTACAGGCGCACACCACCATGCCCAGCTAATGTTTTGTATTTTTAGTACAGACAGGGTTTCACCATGTTGGTCAGGCTAGTCTCGAACTCCCAACCTCATGATCCGCCCGCTTTGGCATCCCAAAGTGCTGGGATTACAGGCATGAGTCACTGCACCCAGCCGAAGTCTTTTTTCAAGACCTAGTATTTCTTTTTTCTTTTATCTTTTTTTGAGACAGAGTCTCGTTCTGTCACCCAGGCTGGAGTGCAGTGGCGCAATCTTGGCTCACTGCAACCCCTGCCTCCCAGATACAAGTGATTTTCCTGCCTCAGCCTCCCTAGTGGTAGCTGGGACTACAGGCGTCCACCACCATGCCTGGCTAATTTCTGGATTTTTAGTAGAGATGGGGTTTCACCATGTTGGCAAGTCTGGTCTTGAACTCTTGACGTCAGGTGAAACACTTGCCTCAGCCCCTCAAAGTGCTGGGATTACAGGCTTGAGCCACCACGCCCCGCCAAGACCTAGTATTTCTTGAGCTGAGATTGACTATATGATCTGCCCCAACCATATTTCTCCAATCATATTTGTTCACAGTTTTCTAGGATTTATGCTCCTTAGACTGGAATGCAAACAGACCGTCCCTCAGTGAGGGAAGGCACCACATTGGTTAGGACTTGCTTCTGAATACCTAGCATCTGGCTCGCAGTAGCTTAGTCTGTGTTTGTTGAATGGATGCTGGAAAGTTGGCATATGCCCCTGCAGAGTACAAGGTCAATTTGGGTGAAGATATGTGAAGTCACATGATTTTTCCTGCCCCATCTGTTTTACTTGAAGATTTGGGGGGAAAATATTAAAGAATTTAGTATGTGATCCCAATTACATTGTATATCGAAGTAAACATCTGTTATGAAGAATATTGAATTCACAAGAACGTTTAAGACTAAATAGGGCATTTCAAAGAAATTTTGAGTTTGTGGCAGGTCCCTCTGGGCGGCTCCTTCCGGTCCCTCAGGGACATGAGTTCTTTCTCCTCAGGTCCCTCTGGGCGGCTCCTTCTGGTCCCTCAGGGACGTGAGTTCTTTCTCCTCAGGTCCCTCCGGGCAGCTCCTTCTGTCCCTCAGGGGCACAAGTTCCTTCTCCTCAGGCCCCTCTGGGCTGCTCCTTTGGGTCCCTCAGGGGCACTAGTTCCTTCTCCTCCACTTGCAGTTAAGCTGCCTCCGTGGGAAGACCAAGAAGCATCTGAGCTTGATCCCCCTCTTTGTATTTATTGGAGCTGGAGGTGGTGGAGCAGCCCTGTATCTCTTGCGTTTGGCATTGTTCAATCCAGATGTTTGTTGGGACAAAAAGAATAACCCAGAGCCCTGGAACAAACTGGGTCCCAATGATCAATACAAGTTCTACTCTGTGAATGTGGATTACAGCAAACTGAAGAAAGAACGTCCAGATTTCTAAGTGAAATGTAAAGCTGCTTTAAAATGAAGGTCTTCCAGAAGCCATCCGCACAATTTTCCACTGAACCAGGAAATATTTCTTCTCTAAATGCACGAAATCATGTTCATGTAATCTATTGGTGATTACACTGGTTAATAAATAACTGAAACTTGAAAGAAAAAAAAAAAAAAAGAAGTGCTACCATCCACTCCAGCCACTTTTCCTTTCCGTTGCTCACTGTGGCGCTGGGGGGCTCCATCTGCACTCCCAGGCCCCGTGCCTCCTCGTTGTTTCCTCCTCCCATCCCTCACCATCAAGCCCTAGAATCTACTCTGACTCCCCCGCACATAACACCTACCTTAGTAGCTGTTTGCTAATCTAGAGCTACCTAATATCTTAATTCTTTCCTACTTCAGAGACTTCCCCATTGTGTGGTCTCAGGTGGGACTCTGCTTGTTACCACATGATTTGGCTGCAGTTGCTTCCACCCCGCTGCCCTTAGTTCCTGCCTGGTTTCTTGACCTAAGTTATCCTGCCTTCTGTTAATTCTGTGAGCTCCCTTGTAGCCTTCCAATAATTTTCTCCTTAAACTAATTAAATTTGTGTGCTTTCAAATAAGAACTCACACACACACACGCACACATACCCTCTCTCCTCTTTTTTAGCTGACATTTGATGAGCATTCACTATAGGGCAACACCACCATGCTAAGGCTTTACATGAATTATCTTGTTTAATTCTCATAGCAATTCAATGTAAAATGTACTATTATCTGCATTTTGCAGATAAAGAAACAAATGCAAAAGGGTTCATTGCTCTGCCCAAAGTTGCATGCTTGCTAAGTGCTGGAAATAGGATTTAATTCTGGGGAAGACAGGCACAGTGGCTCACACCTGTAATCTCAGCCCTTTGGGAGGTGGCAGCAGGAGGATCACTTGCACCCAGGATTTTGAGATTAGCTAGGGAAATATAAGGAGACCCTGTCTCTATAAAACAAATGAAAGAACTAGCCAGACATAGTGGCACATGCCTGTAGTCTCCACTACTCAGGAAACTGAAGCAGGAGGATCAGTCAAGCCAGGGAAGTTCAGGCTGCAGAGAGCGATGATCACACCACTGCACTCGAGCTTGGGTGACAGAGTGAGACGCTGTTTGGAAAAAAATAAAAAAGGATTTAAACCTAGGGAATCTGATTCAAGAGCACTCATCCTCATCACAATAATATATTGCTTTAGCCTCCTAAACTTAACTCTGCCTTCAAATTCTATGCTCACTGAGAGCTCCATTCTCACTCCCTCTATGAGACCGCCAGTCTACTCCAGTGCACACTGAAGGGTCCCCTCCTCGACTGGCATAGCACTCACTGCCCATGCCAAGTAATGCAACTTACCAATATACTGTGCTATTATTCCACTGCCAACGCATTGTGCCACAATATACTGTGCTATTTTTAATGGTTTCATTTTATTCTCAATTCATTGCTTCTCCCTCTAATACTTCTTTTGTATGCCACTTAGCAACCAAGAGGCTAGATGGGATGTTGTAGAAGACCCTAGGTCTCTGTCCATGACATGGGAGGACTTGATGAAGACTGGGACTCCCGTTTGGGGGAATCCATTGTATTACACCCCAGCTGAATTTTCACTACTTGCAGCACAGATTATGGACAGAGCACAGGCTTTAGAGTCAGACTGACATGCTTAATATGCTTCCGTTACTCTGTGACCCAGACAAGTGATTTAAGTTCAGGGAGCTTGTTTCTTTACTTATGCAAATGGAGATAAAATAACTGAAACACATGGTTGTGGTGAGCATTATGGGTATTAATAAGTAAACCCAAAAGTACTCAATCTGATTTTATGTTCTCCTTTCCTTTCGCAAGATGGCTTTCAGGGGACATCTGGGAATCATTTTCCTTTTAACAATATCAGATAAAGCAGGAGTTCTCAATATCTCTATTATTGACGCTGTGGGATGGATAACTTCTTGTGGGGGCTGTCCAGCCATGCATGGCTGGAGGTTTAGCAGCGTCCTTGGCCTGGTCTTGATGCTAGAGGCCAGTAGCACCAACCACAATACTTCTCCACCTCCCATCTAGTCGTAACTATCAAAAAACATCTCCAGATGTTGCCAAGTGTCCCCTGGGGGATAAAATCACCCTGGTTCGGAACCACTGAAGTAAGGGATATGAAGGCATTCTCAGCCAGGTGCAGTGGCTCACACCTGTAATCCCAGCACTTTGAGAGGCCGAGGCGAGCAGATCACCTGAGGTCAGGAGTTTGAGACCAGCCTGGGTAACATGGTGAAACCCCATTTGTGCTAAAAATACAAAAAATTAGCCAGGCATGGTGGCATGTGCCTGAAATCCCAGCTACTCTGGAGGCTGAGGCAGGAGAATTGCTTGAACCCAGGAGGTGGAGGTTGCAATGAGCCGAGATTGCCATTACACTCCAGCTTGGGCAACAAGAACAAAACTCTGTCTCAAAAAAAAAAAAAGAAGAAGGCATTCTGTCACACGTACAGCCAGTAACAATGACATACTATTTCATATTTATATTAAAGTTATTTACAGCTTGATATAGGTTGGATATTTGTCCTCGCATGGTAAAATGTAACCCTCAATGTTGGAGGTGGGGCCTCGTGGGAGGTGTTTGGATCATGGTGGTGGATCCCTCATGAATGGTTTAGTGCTATCCCCTTGGTGATGAGTGAGTTCTTGCTCTGCATTCACAAAAGATCTGGTTCATTATATAAGAGCCTAGAACCTCCCCCACCCTTGCTCCCGCTCTTGCCCTTTAACACACTGGCTCCTGCCTTGCCTTCCACTGTGACTGAAAGCTTTCTGAGGCCTCACCAAAAGCCAAGCAGATGCTGGCACTGTGCTTGTACAGCCTGCGGAACCAAGAGCCAATTAAACCTCTTTCCTTTATAAATTAACCAGTCTCAGAAATTCCTTTATAGCAATGCAAGAATGGGCCAAGGCACACTGAAAATGACCTATTTACAGCTCAGGTAATTAGATAAAACCTGGGAGATCAGGTAAGGGAAACATAATTGATCAAGAAGACTTTACTTCTCTCTGAGAAATGAAATTCTTTTTACTTTTGCCTAAACTGCCCCGGGCTTTCTATGGCAGGGCCAACTGGTGCAGGCAGTAGGAGGCTCAGTTCCTTCCAGTGGCGTCAGAGGAGAGAAACTGCCTTAAAAGTCTAAGATATTTTCCTCTTCCCATTTGAATTTAAATGAAAATATTTTTTAAAAAGAGGAGGAAGATCTCTCTACTTTTTCCTTACTGCAAAACAATGTCTAAGTCCTTGTTCTTAACCTGCTAGAGTATTTTGATAAATGTTGAAAAAAGTCAGATTTGATTCGTTATAATTAACAATTGAAATCATCCACAGAGTCCCCAGCCAGATTCCCATGTTAAACATTTTTAAGAAAAGGGCAGCAGAGAACTTATAAAACTATTGTTATTTTCTTGGGATTTAAAGAACATTTTCAGCCTGAGCATCATGGCAAAATCCCATCTCTACAAAAAGTATAAAAATTAGCCAGGCATGGTGGCATGCGCCTGTAGTCCCAGCTACTTAGGAGGCTGAGGTGGGAGGATCACTTGATCCTGGGAGGCCAAGGTTACAGTGAGCTACAGAGAGCTGTGATCATGCCACTGCACTCCAGCCTGGGTGGCAAGCCCCTCCCCCAAAAAAAAAAAAAAAAGAAAGAACATTTTCAATATTTTGGAATTCTGTTTACAGTAGTTATAAAAAACAAAGGATATGAATTTATCAATGAAGTTTTAAATATTCCTACATACAGGAATGCATTCATCCATTATAAAAATCTATTTTTCTCTTGCTTCCTTTTCCATTTCAGAGAATGATAGAATTTCAGAACTGACAATGCCTTTGTGTTTTGAGAGTTTTTTGGTTTAGTTTGAGACAGGGTCTCATTCTGTTGTCCAGGCTGGAGTGCAGTGGTGTGATCACAGCTCACTGCAGCCTCAATCTCTTGGACTCAAGCAATTCTCCCACCTCAGCCTCCTCAGTAGCTGGGACCACAGGTGCATGCCACTATGCTAGCTCATTTTCAAATTTTTCTATAGAGACAGGGTCTCATCATGTTGCTCAGGCTGGTCACAAACTCCTGAGCTCAAGCAGTCCTCCTGCCTCAGCCTCCCAAAGTGTTGGGGTTACAAGAATGAGCCACCATGCTCAGTGGCTTTGAGGTTTCTTTTTGTGTCATAGACCCTTTTGGCATTCTGGTGAAGCCTACTGACCCCTTCCAGAATAATTTTTCGATGCATAAAATCCTAAAAATGTAAATGATGCTGAAATAGTCAATATATATTTTTGATTATTATTTTTAATTATGGCAAAATACACACAGTATAAAATTGATTTACTTAACCATTTTAAGTACATTCCCATTGTTGGGCAAAAATCACCACCATCTATCTCCAGATGACTTTTCCTGTATTGCAAAACTGAAACCTGTACCCATTAAACAATAACTCCCCATTCTTCTCTTCCTGCTAGCCCTTGGCAACACCTTTCTACTTTCTGTCTCTACGAGTTTGACTATTCTAATTACATCATATAAGTGAAATTGTAAAGTCCTTGTCCTTTTGTGAACAGCTTGTTTCACTTAGCATCATGTCCTCAAGGCTCATCCATGTTGCAACATGTCAGGATTTCCTTCCTTTTTAAGGCTAATATTCCAGTGTATGCATCTACGATATATTGTTTACCTATTCATCTGCCAGTGGACAGCTGGGTTGTTTCCATTTGTTGGCTAAAGTTGCTATGAACATTAGCAGACAAATATCTGCTCAGGTCCCTGTTTACAGTGCTTTGGAGTATATGCCCAGGAATGGAATTGGTGGGTCATACATTAATTCTAACTTTAGCTGTTTGAAGAACTATGATCTGTTTTCCATAGTGGCTGCACCATTTGGCATTCCTACCAACAGTGTACAAGCTTTCCAATTTTTCCACATCCTATCAATACCTGTTATTTTTTGTTTTTTGGTAGTAGATATGAGATGGAGTTTTCAATATATTTTTAAAAACCAATTTGTTATATAGTAATGTATAAGGTTTTATTAACATACTAGTTGACAAACTGTAGCAGCTGGTCTAATAGCTACTATAATATCTCCATAATAATCCTTAA